TCTCTGTTTAATTTGAAAACCCAGACTAGATGGTTCTGAGATATTTTGTGGCTCCCTGGCAGTTTCCTTGGGGGTGGACCTGGTTCACATGTTGGGGTTTGAGTAGGAATTCGAATATAGAAAGTGCTCTGCTGCTTTTACAAAAAGATTTTTTTTAAAGCCCCAACTCAGCCGGGTGTGGTGGCTCACGCCTGTAATCCTAGCTCTCTGGGAGGCCGAGGCGGGCGGATTGCTCAAGGTCAGGAGTTCAAAACCAGCCTGAGCAAGAGCGAGACCCCGTCTCTACTATAAATAGAAAGAAATTAATTGGCCAACTGATATGTATATAAAAAATTAGCCAGGCATGGTGGCGCATGCCTGTAGTCCCAGCTACTCGGGAGGCTGAGGCAGAAGGATCGCTCGAGCCCAGGAGTGTGAGGTTGCTGTGAGCTAGGCTGACGCCACGGCACTCACTCTAGCCTGGACAACAAAGCAAGACTCTGTCTCAAAAAAAATAAAATAAAATAAAAGCCCCAACTCAACAGGCCCTTCATTTTATCATCATGATGTATCATATACATGAACACCTGATCTTGGGCACTGTTCTGATGGTAGAGAAAAATAGACCGCCTTGGGAAAACTCTGCTGCCACCTCCATCCCCTCCCCAGATGAAACCTCTGCTGGTGGTGCATCCCGTTTCCTCTCTGGCACTTATGTGCACATTTGCACATGGATGTGTATCCTATCAGTTTATTGTCAACTATAAATGGTATCGTCTTATACATTAGGTTCTATAATTTAGTATTTTTTGTTTGATGTTTTACTTATTTTGGAGCTTTTTCTAGTTTAGTACACATAGGTTTCTGTCATTTTTTAGTGGCTGTAATAGTATTCTATGAATGACCCAAGTATTGTTCTCATTTTATCCATGGTCACACAGTCATTAGTTGGGTTACATTTTGGACCTAGGTCCTCTAGTCCCCGGTTGGTGTTTTCTTCTAGTAGTAGTGGGCTTTTACGTATAGATTTTATAGTCAACTATTGTAAATTAATCACTTTGATTATATTTTGCTTACATAAAGCCAGAATATTCCACATGGAAATAAAACTCTTATTTCTGCAGTATCACCATATTTTCTTTTCTCTATACTTGTTTTACTAGGACTGCTAGTCATATTCCTTTTCCCCATAACTAGAATGTGCCCTACAGGGGAAGAGAGTTTTATGCATCCCTGGATACCTTTGTAGAATAATAGGTGCTTAATAAAAATCTGCAGTTCGCTCCTGCCACTCTCCAGCCCCATCCTATCTGTCCCATGGCTGTTTGGGAAACACCGTCTGCTCTGATAAGACCTTTCTGGGTTTGTGTTCCCGGAGGCTGCTGTTTCTCCACATATCGCCAGACTCCTGCGTGAGCCCCTGGTTCTCTCTCGCCTTACCCTGCTGTCTTCTGTGCCTTTCTGGTCTCTGACTCCCTGCTGCTGTCCTTCCTGCTGCTTTCCTGTCCTGTTGTTCCTGCTGTGGCTTAGTCAAGCCTGGTGCAGAGAAACCCAGGGATCCATCGGAGGCGTTTGGAACGTTATTCCAAACAGTAGACTGGCACCTGCTTTCCCAGCCCGCAGGCAGCCCCTGGCTGCGGAATTCCAGCCGAGCATTTGCAGGTTACTCTGCTCGGGAATGTGCACGCACACACCCTGTTGATGGATAATTGACTTTTTATGTGTGGTAAAATAGCAGCTTGGCCAAGGGTAACTGAAGGAGAGGTACTTTTGAAAACAAGAGCATTAGGCAAAATTAATTTAAATGGAAATTTGAATGCTGAAAACCAACTACTTTTTAAAAGGATAATTTTAAAAATTAGGTTTTTAGTACTGGAAAATATTTCTAAAGGCTGTTCCTATGTATTTAGCAGAAACAACTGTGTCCTTGAAGAAATGCTTTAGTGCTGTTCTCGTTTTCATTCCCCTGTTATTCTCCTCCAAATAGGTTACTGGAATGAGCAGACTTACTGCTCTGTTCTTTTAAAAGGTGGCTTTCTTATAATGGAACAGCCCTCAACACAGTATTACCAGAAACACTCAGAACTAGTTCAGAGGTAGAAAATGCTCTGGGGGGGGGGGGTTTCCCTTGCAACAGGGAATGCATCTTCATTGTAGAAACATGAGATGAGACTTTCCAGCCAGCACAAAGTAAAATACTTTAGGTCATGTTTCTGCAGCGTCCATATCTATCCATTGTTGTTCATCGTAGGATTCATTCCTGTGTTCGTTGTGGTGATGTATTTTTTGTTTATGAAGTAGTAACAGCAGCTAGTGTTTATTGGGCACTGTGCTGAACTCTTTTTATCTCTTCCTCAGAATAGTGCTGTGGGGTAAGAACTGTTTCTCTCCCCATTTAATCTTCACTCCAAACCTGTGGGGTGGATACCATTGCTACCTCCGATTTACAGCCAGAGAAAGTGAGGCTTAAAAGAAGCACTATGCTCAGTCATGTTACTAGTAAGCAGTAGAGCCACGATTTCTAACCATTGCTCTCTATTGTTCTGTGATGACTGTCCTCAGAAAGTGGCCCTGGGTTGCCCTGGCATGCAGCATAGTGTAGCGGCAAAGAGTCCAGAGTGTGGTGCCACACAGTGGATTCAAGCCAGGGATCCTCGGCTTCCTATTGGAGTGAACTTGGGCAAATTGCTTCACCTTTCTGTGTGCTTTTGTGCCTTCAAATGTAAAGTGGATATGATAAAAGTACCTACTTCACAGGGTTGTGGAGTTAATATATGGAAATTCAGACAGTGCTCTGCACATAGTAAGTGCTCATAGCTATCGTTATTATTATAACTGGGTGGTTTTTGTTAATTCTATGTTTCGGGTAGGATTGCTTTAAGCTGTGAATAATGGAAAACTTGAGATTGAGTGGCTTGAATAGGGGTTGGTTTTTCTCACCTACCAAGAAATCTGCAGGTGTGGAGAGTGTTGACTTTAATTCAGTTATCCTGCAGTGCCGTCAGAGAGACCCAGTACCTTTCTGTCTTTGTACACCACCGTCTGTGGCACATCCACTTACCTTAGGTTCACGGCATGGCTATAGTTGCTCTACATACCACATTCACATTCAAGGCAGAAAGAAGGGGAGAAAATTGAACAGCCATGTGAGGCTCTTTCTGCCCTTAATCAGGAAGAGTAGAAGCTATCCCCAGATGCACTAGCAGACTTGTGTTTTCATCCCATTGGCTAGAACCAGGGCACTCCATTCCTGGCTGTAGTAGAGGCTGAGAAAGGGTATATTCAGGGGTATTTAGGGGCCAGCTCATGAGTTCCTATTGTTAAATTTTCCAGGAATTTGCAGTCTAGTTGATAGCACTTTGGTGGGAGTATTTACACCACAGACACCAGCAAATACTACACATCAGGTGCCCTTACCCAAGAGCCAGTTGTTAAACATTCACCAGCACACTACTGAGTATATTCTATTTGCCAACCTGAAAGGTGACAGGGAGTAAAGGTGTGAGAGGTAGGGATTGGGAATGGTCATTGGGTCAGCCAGCCAGCAGCATCTATGAAGATCAGCAAACTGTTCAAGCTCTTTTAATAGCCTGGAGATCAGAGTTGAGCGGGACCTCTCAGGATCATCTAGGAGAGCCCCTTCTTTGACCAGTGAGAGTCTGGGGCTCTAAGTGGTTTGCTCCAGACCCCAAAGCCAGGCATTGAAGTGGCCCTCCTGGGACCCAGGTGTCCCGATAGTCCAGTATTCCTTCTCTTGAATTGAGGGTTTAAAACCACCTTTCTGCCATCCGTTCCTCCCGTAGCCCCTACTCCCGATGCATGCTCACTCTAGTATTCCTTTTCCAGCTTCATGGTGCTGGGTTTGTCTGCTATCTTCTGTTGGTTTCCCAGGAAACCTGGTCTTAACTGCTGTACTTTAGATTTTAGAGAATAGAACATTTTTAAAAAATGAGGTAAGTTTTATTTTAACTGAGATAAGTTTGAAGAATTTGATCTCTGTTGTGGTACAGTACAAACTAATGTATTGGAAATTTAAGAATATACCTAATTTTGATCCATATTTGTTTACAATAAGGAATAAGCTTAGCTAAAGATGAATTTTATTCTTTCTTTTAGAAAAGACTGATATTTTTTTTTCATATACAGTCATGTACTACATATACAATGGTGGTCCCATAAGATTATAATGCCTTATTTTTACTGCACCTTCTATGTTTAGATATGTTTAAATAACACAAATACTTACCGTTGTGTTACAGTTACTATAGCATTCAGTACAGTAACGTGCTTATAGGTTTGTAGCTTAGGAACAGTAGGCTTTCCCATATGGCCTAGATGTATGGTAGATGTCTGCCGAAATCACCTAACTGTGCGTTTCTCAGAATGCTTCATCCCCATTGTTAAGTGACACATGATTGTTTTTGTATCCAACTCTCTCCTTCAGCTGGTAAGCTCTTTGGGGACAGGCTCTCTAGGCTGGCTTGTTTTTGTCCCTATAGAGATGGATGTATACACAGCTGTGCACGTGGCAGGCATTTAGCAAATATTTACTGTATGAATGACTCCCATTTAGAAGCCAGGCTTCACATCTTCAGATAACAGAAAATCAATCAACAGCTGTTGTCTTGGTGTAGATTCTAGATTAGAAACGTCTAAATCTGGTGATATGACCTATAAACTTTGTTCCCTCGATTGCCTGATACAATTGATGGAAACAGGAGGCCCACCGATAAAAGTGATGGCCTCACAAGTGAAACAGTCATTGAGGTTTCAGTAGGGTTTATCCAGCCTCCTATTATTTTTTAGTTAATCCAGTCCAGTGCCTGCTCTCTTCCCATGTGCTCATGGTAAGAAAGTTGCATTTTATTGAAATCCCTAAAACCATCTCATTTTGAAGAAATCTTAACTAGGAAACAGACTCCTCACATCTCTGTTAAAGACACGGATGTTTATGTGACTTTTATTTCTTCACATGACTGAATACTGTTCTTAACCAATTCTGAACGTGTGTTTATCCACAGCCAAGTTACATCAGTGATGGGGGACCCCCTGGTCGCAGCTCTCTGGATAGCATCGAGATGGCCTACGCCCGGCAGGTGAGGGTGTGCCCAAGGAAGACTTAACCCAGGAAAGTCCTTTATGAGCCTCTGGGGAGCAAAAGGGAGCAAAGACTCCATGTGAAGGTCAAACCCCGAAAGCAAGTTGAGTTTTCATTTAGAGGACTGGTTAATATTTTGCCATATAGGCCACTGAGGAATTCTATCAAATAGGGTAATAGAATGACTCACATTTGATTTGGGGAAGTTGAAATCTGTCCTCTACACTGACCAAGACATCTCAGTTTGCATTTTTGGCAATAGCCCTATGTAGAGTAAAGCCTTGAGCAACTGCACTGCTTAACAAATGGAGTTCTGTATTAACTGAATTACATGTTAGGCTGATGGTATTAGCAGAAATCCTCCATTCACTCCTTGCTGAGAGAAATTTCCTAAACACTTTTCTGCCTTGTTAAGCATGTGGTATTGAACATGGCTTAATATCATTGTTGTTTTGGAAGAGCTCATGATATTTTGGGGATCAAGCTTCTGGTTGTAGATCACGGCCGTGCAATAACGAGGCTGTGGATTGAGGTGCTTTGTGCTAATAAGCACGGGAACTCTGTTGGACTAAAAGTGGAATTGATTTTTTAAATAAAGCAGTGCCAGCTGACTCTGTGTTTTATTGTAGTTTGCCACTTTCCCCCACAAAGTATCAAGAAAGGAGAACATTCCTGTTTCTTAAATTGAAGGTAGTGGGCTTCCATCCCCTTAAGATCATCCTGTATCAGAATTGGCCCAGGAACATTGCTCAGCCATAACCACCTCCCATGATTCTTTAAGGAGAACACATCAGTGCCACTTGTGACCCTCAGCAGTACCTATCTCCTTCCTTCCCTCCAACTTGGGTGGTTGGAGGCAGAAGCAGATAGCAACCGTGGAGGTGAGCAGTGGGCATGGAACTATCAGGCCCTGTGCTCCATAACAGGTCTCTATCTTCAGCCACCAGTTTATTAGCCAGTGGAGTTCTGTACTAACTGGATTACCTGGTTGGTTGATTAGCAGAAGTGACTCTTTCATCCCTCGTTGAGAGAAATTTTCTAAGTGCTTTTTTAAAAGTCCCTCCCCCATCAGTGTACCATTGCCACTTCAAACTGCAGGTGGCTGAAGCCAGCTTTAACAGCTTCCCACAGCTGAGTTCTCCCTCCTTCTGACTCATGTTTTACCACCAGCCTCCATTTATTTCCTTCTGCTCCAGTTTTTAGATCCTATTTCACCTGCACATCTATACACTTTAAATTTCACCTTCAGTATAAGGGCTGGCTTCATCCATGGCCATGAAGAGAGGCCTAATGAAATTATAAGTTTCTGAGGAGAGAAACTATATCTTCTACATCTGCAAAGACTAAAACTTCATAAAACTAACATTTTATAGCACCTAGGACACCACCACGCCATGTTTATGTCTGTTTACATGGCTGTCCTCTCCAGTGGAGAGTGAATCTTTATATCCCATGTTGAACACAGTACCTTGCAAAGTGAAGGCCCCTAGTAAATGCTTGTTGAGTGAATAAGCACTACCTTATAGTTTAAAACCACTTTATTTAATCTTTATAATAGCCCCGGGAGCTAAGTGACACCAATGTTCCCCATTTAAAGTAGAGAAAATGAAGGTTCAGTGGGGTCATGATTTGTCTAACCCCTCCTTTGTTCAGTCTTTGGTAAAGCAAAGACTTCAAATACAAAGTGAAACCTTCCACAAGAATAGAGCTTACTCATTATTTTAGTTCTTTTAAAATAAAATCCAAAGTAATAGTGGCTTTCCCATACCTTAAACCTCACATAGGTGGTATTTCTTGAGAAAATTTTACCTAAAGACCATAGATTCTTTCCAGGAGTAATGGATATTCCAAGTATGCAGCAACTGCTATTCCAGCACATGTGAATGGGGCTGTACCCTGACATTCCGCACTCAGTCCATGAGACCTGGACAAGGGGCCATTCAGTCCTTTTGCCAGAATTTTACCGAACTTTGCTTTGGTTCTTAGGAAGCAGCAACCAGAGACCTTCCATTGTTTCATCTTCCACTTGTCCTTGCTCCCTGGGACAGAGAGTCACAGAACTGCCTGTGGCACTCCTCCCACCAGACGGCCCTGCTCCCATTTATCCTGTGTTTGGAGGGCTGGGATAACAATTATCTTTGGTGTGTGCCCACAGCTCAAACACGAGGCTAGGGAGCTGGCTAGTGTGGATAGCTCAGCCACTCCGAGGAAGGAAAAGTTGGCTGAATTTTCTGCTGACCATTTCCTGGCTTCAGAACTGCTTCAGAAGGTTTTAAAAAGAAGTGAAAATAGAAATCGTGCCATTTACTTTGCTTTTCATCATTTCAGATTTATATCTATAACGAGAAGATTGTAAGCGGGCACCTGCAGCCTAACCTTGTGGACCTCTGCACTTCCGTCGCAGAGCTGGATGATAAGGTAGTGCCCAGAGAGGGCCTGGGGAGAAAGCCGGGGCCGGTGTTCAGATGGGATTAGCAGCCTGCTGACTTGGCCAAAATGAGCTGCAGAGGCACTCCATTCTGTGGAATAAAATGTTAACTCTTCTCCAGAGTTTTATTTTAAATAATTTGGGGTGGTTTTCTTGATGATGTTTTTTTTTTTAAGTGCATATTCAAAAGACCCAGCTAGCATCAGTTAATGGTCACAGGAGTTCTCCTCCAGCTATATTTGCTTTGATGTCCTGTCAGTCTTTGACTCCCTGTTCACCATTTTTCTTCCTTAGACAGACTAATGAGCTCTTTAACAAGAGCTGGATTGTAAAGGTGATGCAGTTTTCACACCTGTGAGCCCCTTAGACTCGACTCGGGTGGGATCTTTGTGAGCATTCTTCATATACATACCACTGGTTCCCTTACACACACACACACACACACACACACACACACAGAGTCTTTTATTCTCCTATTCTCAACTCTTATCGATGGGTGAGTGGGTGGGTTAGTAGATGGCTAGGAGGAAGGAAAAAAGGAGGAAAGATATTATGGAAACAAGCACACATACACAGATTTTTTTTGGTCTTTTCAAAGATGGATCTAACTTTTAATTTTTTAAAAACAGTAAAATATAAGGCAATATGAACAGACCTAAAGAAAAAAGTACAAATTCACCAATCATCCCACCACAGAAAGAGTCGCATTTGGCTGGATATTCTACAGTTTTAATTTTTGAGAGAGATCATGAGAACAGGCTTTTCTCTTTTGCTTTGAAAAAAGTGTAAATGTGCTTTTCTCTAAACGGTGCTGTCCTCCGAGGATTCTTAAGTTTAGAGTATTGCCAAGGGTTCAGGGAACACATTTTTAAAGAGATTTATAGGCGGAGGATTCTGGGGATAGGGGGTCCCAGCTGTGTGGTGGTAACACAAAGAAAGAATGCCCACTCCTTCCCTGGGAGGTGTCTTTTGAAGGGCGCGAGCGGGAAGGAGAATGGGAAGCTGTGGCGCTCACCGGATGGGATAAGAGCAGTGGCCCCTGGAGAGGCTCTGGGAGGACAAAACCTGTATTATTTAGGTTAAACTCTTATTTTAAGCCTTAAGAAACTCAAATAACCTTGTAAGGACTAAAATGCAGCTACTTGAGTTTAAACTCCTAGAGCTTTGGATGATTATAAATGTATTCACTCTCTCTTAAGGGATAACCCACAGAGATTCAATGTTCTTGTTACTTCTGTGTGCTTTTAATTATGAGGTGGTTATGTCAGACCCGGAATGTAATTGATCTGAAGCCAACTCGGGCAAGAGCGGGGGTGCCCTTCGGGGGTGGGAGCTCTGAAGGCGGACAGGGCAGAGACGCAGCTTCTGCGCTGAGCTTAAGCTTGCGGGTCTCAGACAGACGGCGTTAACCTCACCCCCTCCTTATCCTGCCTGCCTTTGAGATCATGGTCCCATGAGGAGCCAAATAACTGCTCCAGCCCTGCAGCATTGTCACGTGCAGTCTCGTTTATGTGCAGAGCATTTCTGACATGTGGACCATGGTAAAACAAATGACAGACGTGTTGTTGGTGCCAGCGACTGATGCCTTGAAGAGCCGCAACAGCGTGGAAGTGCGCATGGAGTTTGTCAGGCAGGCCTTGGGGTACCTGGAGCAGAGGTAAGGCGGCAATAGCACAGTGGAGCTGGCGTTCGCAGCCCCAGCAGTAAACCGTTTCTCAGGTCTGAAGTAGCCCTTGGGCTAAGTGCGCTGTAGCTGGTATAATTTAAGATTTATTATATTAGATTGAACAAGTCTGAGAGGTGTAATCCTGTTTTCAGAAACACTTCCCTACCAGGACTGGTTCTGCAGTGGTATCAAATTACACATGTAAAATCACAGTAAGTGGGAGCGGTGTTAGACTTCTCTTTTTCTCAGCTCTCTGTCCCTTTACTGGGAGACGTCATGATGCCTTAGATCATAATCTTGTTTCCTAATGTGGCTCAGCCATTGCTCCTTAGGCCCTTTTGTTTTCTCTCAGCATTTTAATTTTCACTCCCAGCGATATTACCACCTTCAAACCTTAGGACGGCCCCTAATCTTGTTTCCTTTTGACTCTACTCATTTAATCCCTGTGAGTCAAGGTCCTTCGCAGCTGCCAGTGCCTGTGACTTGTGCCTGTGTCTCTTTGCCATCTCCTCACTAATCGGAATTGGCCACTGAAGGGTTTGTGGCTGCGCCTTTGTGCCTTATTGTCTCCTTTAGTAGGACCATGCCATTCATCCCTCCCTGCAGACACTCCTTCCAACTCTGAATTGGCCAGCAAGGGTTGTCATGAGTGTGCAACAGACTCTCCTTATTTTAGAGACAGGGTGCTGGGCCTCTCCCTGCTGCCTCAAGAAGAGAAAGTGAATACACTTGCTAAGTTGCAGGCCTTTGCCACTGAGCCTGTACCCGCCAGCAGCTCTGTAGTGTGGTCACCCTTTGTCAATAAAATATACTTCATTAGGAAGTCATAAGATTTCCTTGTATGTAACTGAGGGAATTCAGAGTTGGTACAGCAGAGAATAGTATTTATGCCAAATACTATGTTAATTATATAATAGCTACATGAAATGAACACCATCAGACATTTCACACTCATTAGCCTCTATTCCTTTTTTTATTACTAAGAGAAATCTAGAATTCCAAATGTTTTTTTATTTCCCTACCATAGGTATAAGGGTTTGTAAAATAATACATCAAGCTTTAGCTAAATTTTTGTTATTGGGTTTTGGATGTATCACTCTTTAGCCATAAAGAATCCAATGTATGAAAGGCCGGGCGTGGTGGCTCACGCTTGTAATCCTAGCACTCTGGGAGGCCTAGGTGGGCGGATTGCTCAAGGTCAGGAGTTCAAAACCAGCCTGAGCGAGACCCCGTCTCTACTATAAAATAGAAAGAATTAATGGCCAACTAATATATATATAAAAAAATTAGCTGGGCATGGTGGCACGTGCCTGTAGTCCCAGCTACTTGGGAGGCTGAGGGCTACTCAGGAGGCTGATGCAGAAGGATTGCTTAAGCTCAGGAGTTTGAGGTTGCTGTGAGCTAGGCTGACACCATGGCACTCACTCTAGCCTGGGCAACAAAGCGAGACTCTGTCTCAAAAAAAAAAAAAAAGAATCCAATGTATGTAGTAGTATATATTTGTTACAAGTCAGAAAAATATGAGTCATAATTTCTTATACTGTATAAAAACCTTCAGGAATTTTTTGTTTAATTGGTATATATGAGTATGTGACTGCTCATGACTGTTTTCCTCGATCAACCTAATTCTTAACATTGGTGCTTGACTTCACTGATGATACCAGGCTGCATTCCTTGGTTTTATATCTCTGGTAAGCTATCCCTTTTTTTTAATTATTCTTTCATTTAGTTTTTAACCCTTAGCACTCGGATGTCGAGTGTGACTCGACACGGTTAGCAAAAATTATAGAGATTAAAATTACTCTTTGAATGTATCAATAATTTGAAATATAAAAAAATCCATCCAAATAAATAAATTTGTATAAAAAGAAACTCCAGTTTTTTATTCTGCCACGCTTTGTAAAATCTGGGGTATTTAAAAAATTAAATCCCAAGTAGAATAAAGGAATCAAAAAAAAAGCAACCGAGTGCAAAGATTTAAAAATTACCTTGCTTCATTAATTCCTTTAACAGTGCTTCTTGAATCTGTTTGGGAATTTCCTATCCACAATTATTGTAATCATATTTTCTTTTTCCCTATAGTGTCATCACTCTCTGATGATATTTTTTTTAAGTTTTTATTGTTAACTTTTGACAAAGGGGATCTTTTAAAATAATTATACTCAGTTTTAAAATATTTTTGCTTATGCTAATCCACTGACAGTATTCATACAATAGTTCATGTGATGTAATGCAACAGATGGCAAAAGGGGGACCCAGGCCCAAATAATTTTTTTTTTTTTTTGAGACAGGATTCTCACTCTGTCACCCAGGCTGGAGCGCAGTGGTATGATCATAGCTCATTGTAGCCTCCAACCCCCGGGCTCAGGCAATCCTTCTGGCTTAGCCTCTTGAGTAGCTAAGACCACAGGTGTGCAGTACCGTATCTGGCAAATTTTTTAATTTTTTTTACAGAAGGGTCTTGCTATGTTGCCCAGGCTTGTTTTCAACTCCTGACCTCAAGCGAGCTTTCCACCTTGGCCTCCTAAAAGACTGGGATTACAGGCGTGAGCCACTGTACCCGGCCTGAAATAATTTTTTAATTATAAGGCTGAAATGTTGATAAAATATAGGACTGGTCTATCTTTTTCCTGCCACGCTCCAAGATTTGAGGCAGGATATATATTTCTTAGCCCTAAAGGAATTTAAGCTTCCTCTTCTTCAACTTAGGCCCTTGCCACAGCTCATGAGTTGTCTTAATTCAAGTTGGAAGAAATGGTAGTGGGCATTTTGTCCTGGCTGCAACAGGACTCTTTATCCATTCTCTTCTTTCAAATACTTCCAGTAGTGGGAAACTCATTACATTTGTTAAATTGATTTTTAGTTTTTGTTGTAAAAATGATACATACTTATTATAGAAATTCTGGAAGATGCTAAAAAGAGGACCTGAAAATAGAGGGGAGGTCCTCTAAACCTTATATCCAGTGGCTTCTATTTCTTTTTCCCACTGTTGTATTTCTTTTCCCACTGTTTTTAACTTATGAGTATTTTGATTTTATTTTTTACAGTTATGATCCAAATGTGTCCAATATGCGATTTTGTATAGTTCAACTCTTTGTCACTATCATTTTCATAACTGCATAAAATTTCATTGAATCTGTTTTCTATAATTAACATTTGGGTTATTTCTGTCTCTCACTATCTCTCACTAACTCATTCTCTCACTCACTAACTCACTGTCTTCAGTTACTGTACCTGGTGTTGAACATCTGTGTATATGGAACACCTTATTTTTTGAGACAGTCTGTTTTATTTTGGACACGAACATGTTTAGAAAGTCCTTTATTATATTAACCACATATTTGGGTATCTGTAACTTGGACTATTTAATCTTGGTATAGAAGCACTTACAAACATAAACACTACAGGAGATTTTAAGCAGCATGCTAGCAAATAAATGAAGAAGGAATGATAGTCATCATTTTGTAACCACCAGTGTAGTAGCTGGTTCAGCAAGGACTGTCAGTAGAAACTAAAACAATCGGATGAAAGAAAGATTGTGAACAGAATATTTACATGACCTCAATGAGTTACCTGACAGATTACTTATTAATTACAAAGGAAATAATATTAAATTATAATGGAGAAATCTGGTTGGACAGCACCTTTTAACCAAGTGAATCAAATCTAGTGTTACCCATAATGAAGCAAACTAATGTTACCTACCTCATTGTGGGACTCAGTGGAAAGTACCAACATCAGCTGTGTAGAGTTATTGGCAAAAAAGTTGAACCCGAATCAAATCGTGAGGAAATGATCCAGCTATTGAGACATTTTACCAGACAGCTGGCCTGGATTCTTTATAACAAGTCAGTGTCAGCCAAGTGTAGTGGTGCACACCTGTACTTCTAGCTACTCAGGAGGCTGAGGTGGGAGGATTGCTTGAAGCCAGGAGTTCGAGGCTATAGTGCACTATGATTGCATCTGTGAATCATGACTGCACTCCAGCCTGGGCAACACAGTGAGACCATGTCTTTTTTAAAAATATAGATATGTCAGTGTCATGAAAGACAAAAAAGGTGGTTGAATTACCTTATTTATTTATTTATTTATTTATTTATTTATTTATTTATTTTTTTGAGACAGAGTCTCGCTTTGTTGCCCAGGCTAGAGTGAGTGCCATGGCGTCAGCCTAGCTCACAGCAACCTCGAACTCCTGCGCTCAAGCAATCCTGCTGCCTCAGCCTCCCGAGTAGCTGGGACTACAGGCATGTGCCACCATGCCCAGCTAATTTTTTCTCTATATATTTTTAGTTGACCAATTAATTTCTTTCTATTTTTAGTAGAGATGGGGGTCTCACTCTTGCTCAGGCTGGTTTCGAACTCCTGACCTCGAGCAATCCACCCACCTCGGCCTCCCAGAGTGCTAGGATTACAGGCATGAGCCACCGCGTCCAGCTGAATTACCCTAGATTAAGGGAAATGAAAGTGGCTTGATAATTGCCATGTATTTCCTTGGTTGGATCCAGGATTTTAAATGAAAACAAACTATAAGGGATGTTATTAAGAAACAAATAATGGGTTATGATTTAGATGGTAACATATTAATGTTAAATTTCTCAGTGTCATAATGGTATTGAGGTTAGGTAGGAGAATGTTCCTAGTTCTTAGCCACATAGTAAGAATTTACAGATGAGCTGGTACCTGGTTTATATAATGTTTTCAAATGGTTCTGGAAAAACAAAACACATATTGTGGATAGAGAAAACATGCACACAAATGTTAAAAATTGATGAATCTAGGTAAAAGGTATATTCATGTTCATTGAACCATTCTTTTAACTTTGTAGGTTTGAAATATTTCAAAATAAAATGTTTAAAAACAACCCACTAGTATTAGGCTGTGAGCTGGAACAGTTATTATTCTGCACATCAGCTCTTAAAGCATTTGAAGTCCACAGTTGTATTCCCTCAGCGATTCTTTCGTGTATCAGCAGTGATGAGAAATCTTTACAGTGATCCAGTGCCCGCTGAATAGATAATGTAGTTTGCATCATTAACCGTGTACTCTTTCCTCTTCTGTGTTGGGTTTGAAGTCCAGGCCGTGCCCTGCAGAGTTCACAGTGTAACGTCACGGATATGGACATAAATGTGTGTAGTGTATGTGCATTCACCCCTGTTCTTTCCTTTACAATTTTTCCAGTTATAAGAATTACACGCTGGTGACTGTCTTCGGAAATTTGCATCAGGCCCAGCTGGGCGGGGTGCCTGGGACTTACCAGCTGGTTCGAAGTTTCCTAAACATTAAACTTCCAGCCCCCTTGCCTGGACTTCAGGTACTGGCAGCTTTCTCTGTGTGATCACTTATGCTCCCAGATAGGCGTTTTCAGAGGTTATGTGTGGAGACTGCTGGGTGGAGAAGAGAACAGAGAGGGGTTAATGAAGGATAGAAGCTGAAAGATGTCTTAGGAGGCTAACAGTGTAGGAGTCCAGGCAAGGTACAGGGGAGAGATTTCATTGATTTCTGGACATGTTGTGCGGACAAGTGACAAAAGCAGATTTAGGATAGGTAAGCTGTAGTATCAGGAGAGTGGGAACAGATCTGCCTCTCTGATCCCTGATGCCTCACAGTGTTTGATACCAGGATACTCAATAAAAAGTGTATAACCTTCTAGAAACTCAAGTACAGTGATGATGAGGGTCTCTTATTGGTCAGTGATGTCTTTAGCCCTCGGTTTGTGGGGTTGTTAGGAGCGTGTGTCTGCACGTTATCACAGAAGAACACACACCCGGTTACTGCAGGCCACTGGGATTCCACAGAGAAGCCACGGGGCTGGCCTTGGATCAGGTAGGGTACCAGTGCTTTGGAGGAAAAGCTCTGAAGCCACACGGCAACTTAACAGCTTGCTCTGAACAAATTACTTAACTTCCTTGTGCCTCAGTCTCCTTGTTTGTAAAACAGGGAGGAGGAGGGTGTTAATGGTTCTTACCTCATGGAGTTCTTCTGAAGATTAAGTGACTTAGTACAGGAAAGGGGCTTAGCTGGGTGTCAGCTCATCAAAAAGCAGTCAGCTTTTACTTCTTTATTTTGAGCATTTATCTTTCCTCTTTTAGGATGGGGAGGTGGAAGGCCATCCCGTGTGGGCGTTAATTTATTACTGCATGCGCTGTGGAGACCTGCTTGCTGCTTCACAAGTGGTTAATCGAGCCCAGCACCAGCTGGGAGAATTTAAAACCTGGTTCCAGGAGTACATGAACAGCAAAGACAGAAGGTACGGAGAATGAGGTGGCGCAGCCAGAAGCAGCCACGTGGAATCAAAGGGGTGGCCTCCACAGCGTTGTTCTCTTTTCCCTGCATGTGCCCAAAATAAGTTTCTTCTTGGGAAAAAAGGAGGTTAAGAAAGTGAGTAGAACTCTCTTGGGAATAACAAGTAGAACCATTAAAAGAGAGCCCCATTCTAACCCTGATGCCTGGACATGCATGCCTCTGTGCTTGGGGATTTTTCTGTTCCTGTAAGGGAGAGACTGTGTTTGGGAGCATGATTCAACTTATCCTAAACATCCAAGGCACATCAAGGATTCTTTATAAAATGGGACTTTTTTGTATTATACTTTTTTAACACTTAGTGCTTTTCTGGTCAACCCACTATGGAAATATTTTGTCATGTGCTTCGTAGCCTAAAGGCTAGAATTAGAAGTTAGTAATATTGAATATAATCGTTGAATTAGTTCACTAAGTGTTTTCTTCCGTTAAGGAACTGCTAGGTATTAGTGTTCCCTGGATTTTGCTAATGTAAATGGACTTAAGTTCATACTCAAACTCAGTTTATATATATGTACATGTATGTAGAAGAGATAATGGTTGTTACTCCAGTTGTACTTGTGAAAAATCAGGGATACTTTCAGCAGCATTAATAATGCCATGTCAAGAGATTGTCTTAAACCACAAGCCCCTCTCTTGCTCATATTAGAGTTTAAAGTAGGGTTTCCTCAGAGGGAGATTTGAAAGCAGGTAGTTTATTTGGGAGATGAATGAGGGAGTGTGGAGGACAGAGGAGGCTGTCCGTCACTGCTTGAGTGCTGCAGGGGGTGGAATGGAGTACTCATGCCCTCGTGTTTCTAACTGCCCCCGCAGGCCTCAGCAATTAGAGGAAGCCAGCAGGCTGAGAGACACAGGTGCTGGTAGTTGCGAGTCAGGTCAAAGCGATGGTACCAAGGGGATGGGGCAGGGACCGTGTGTGTCACCCTAGATGAAGGAACTCCTAACTCTGTTGTATGATTGGGACCTTGGGTGATTTCAGATGCCCTTGAGGATATTTACTGAGTTTGTGCCTGTCTGTTCCCTTATGTCTTTAGATTGTCCCCGGCTACGGAAAACAAGCTCCGGCTGCATTACCGCAGGGCCCTCAGGAACAACACGGATCCCTACAAGCGAGCCGTGTACTGTATCATTGGCAGATGCGACGTCACCGACAATCAGAGTGAAGTGGCGGACAAAACTGAGGACTACCTGTGGCTGAAGGCAGGCGCTGTTTCTTCTGTCCCAGCAGGGCTTTACCCCTTCCCTCTGCTCACGGTTCCCCACACAGAATTTACCTGCTTGATGTATGATGCCAATAAGGTGATCAGGGTCAGCGGATTTCTCGTCCCTTGGCCCCATTTTTTGTTGTGTAATTCCTAGGTAATAACCATAGCCTGTAACGCAGCCTCCCACTCATAGCATTAAGCAAGGCTACTGAATAACACAACCTGTGCATGTGGCTCAGGACTCGATCTGTTCCAATGCATGTGTTTCTCTTGGGGATTTAGTTGAACCAAGTGTGTTTTGATGATGACGGCACCAGCTCCCCACAAGACAGGCTCACTCTCTCACAGTTCCAGAAACAGTTGTTGGAAGACTACGGTAAGATCCTGGACGTGACCACCTTCTCTTCTCTTACCCACTTAAGGCAACTTAAGTTTTCCTCTGGGAAAGTCATTCATCTCTGAACTCTGTCCTTCCTTTAATACCTCTATGGATCTTCAAAACAAAACCCAAAAAGACCATTTCAGATTCAAGTAGAGGCCATGTGACCTTAAATGTGTATGAGTTATATGGTCATGTGTAGTAATCTGTGTCTCTCATTCTTTGAACTGCTCTGGTAGACATTTGCTTGGGGAGAGACAGAGGACTTTGCTGCTGCTTCCTGGTAGAACTTGCCAGTACTGTATCTGAGCACAAAGGAGAGAGAAAACCCTTTTCTTCTTTCTTGCCCCTCATTGTTGAGAAACTCTGGGGAAAAAAAGAAGATTCCAAATAGTGGTTAGCAGTTATTTTCTACATTTCTTTGAATGTAATTGAACTGAAGCTTCTTTGAAATCTTCATTTTTCTCCTTATTGAGTGACTCTTACAAAGGGATGAACAATCCCTTTGTAGTCCGTATTAGCGTCCTTAACTCTGTTTCACTCCCACCTAATGCAAGCAGTTTGGGTTTTACAATACGACCCCTATTTGCTAGTGATGTTGTGAAGTCTAGAGAAGGTGGAGGAACCGGGTCACGTGTCACTTGGCAGTTCACTGTGTCCAGGGCCCCCTTGATTAATTCAGGTTTGTGCTGGTGCTTCCTTCCTGCCCAGCAAGTCCTGTGGGGACACGTGGCTGCTCCCTGGGGGCCAGGGCTCCCTGGGGGCCAGGGCTGCCAGTGCGCAGCTTCCTTCTGAGTTGGCTTTATCTCCTCTCCCCACTCCCCCTGCCAGGTGAGTCCCACTTTACAGTGAACCAGCAGCCCTTCCTCTACTTCCAAGTACTGTTCCTGACAGCGCAGTTCGAAGCTGCAATTGCCTTTCTCTTCCGGATGGAGCGGCTGCGCTGCCATGCTGTCCACGTGGCGCTGGTGCTGTTTGAGCTGAAGCTGCTTTTAAAATCATCAGGACAGAGTGCCCAGCTCTGTGAGTATTGGTGACTGGGTTGGCAGTAGTGTGACCACATCACATTCCACAGTGGGCAACAGTGGCCACAAAACTGCAACCGATAAGGATTTGGCAAACAGTACCAATCATGTTAGAACACTGTAGCTGTGTTAGAACACAGTTGAGCTTTTTGGATGATTAATATTAGGATTCTTGCTCCCCCCTGCTGCCCCGGATTAGTATTCCCTGGCAGGGGTGGTGAACCTGCGGCCTCAAGGCCAAATGTGGCCCTCCAGATCCCCAAGTGCAGCCCCCTGACCAAATCCTTATTTCACAGAACAGATCCCTTTACTTGTTCTGTAAAATTTGGATGCAGTCAAAAGGCTGCATTCAGGGATCTAGAAAGGCACATGTAGCCGTAAGGGCACAGGTTCCCCACTCCTGCAAGGTGCTGTACAAAGTGCTAGCTTCGTGGCCAGGCTGGCTGCCTGGGGAATGGTGCAGAAGAAGCAATTCCCTTTAGGGCTCTGGCTTTAATGACATGGGAAGCCCCAAACAGCCATCCATGTGCATACATGCCCGGATGAAAGAGTCAGGGAAGGAGAGGGAATAAAGGTGGATGAGTGGCTGCGGGAAACCCACAGGTGCAGCTCAGTCACCCTGGGCACGTGCCATAATGGTCAGTTGGGTTAGCTTTTCACTCAAAGACTCAAACACTAATAATTTACTGTAAAATGCCATTTTCTCCACTCTGTGCGTGGGGAGGAGTTGAGGACAGGGTGGTGAAGAGGGTTGGCCAACGCTGACGTTGGCAAACACTGGCTGGGCCACAGGCATAGGTGCTACTGGGTCTGTGGATTCAGCTGCCATGGTTTCTGGGTCACTCGGGTCAGAAGGGCAGTGTGGTTGTGACGCATTCTTACCCCCATGGTGTAGTGAGCCACGAGCCTGGTGACCCTCCCTGCATGCGGCGGCTGAACTTTGTGCGGCTGCTCATGCTCTACACCCGGAAGTTTGAGTCCACGGACCCAAGGGAGGCCCTCCAGTACTTCTACTTCCTCAGGTAACATTTGCTTTTGACCATTTACTTGAGCTAGTTTTAATTTCAGCCGTTCTGAGAATGACTATCAGACCCTCGTGTCCAGACTAGGAACTGAGTTGCTTTTGTTCCCTTGTAGGGACGAGAAAGATAGTCAAGGAGAAAACATGTTCTTGCGCTGTGTGAGTGAGCTCGTGATAGAAAGCAGAGAGGTATGTCCGTTTCCCTTGTTCCCTTCCTCGCCCGCAGTGTTCGGTGTATGTGTTCTCACGCCTGTGGTCACTGCATGTTCACCTCGGTGGGGCATAGGGAGTTTTTGGTGTTTCCTTTGCTTTCAGTCTCACTCTTTTCTAGTTCATGTAAGACTTTCCCCATCCACCCCAGTTTCTTCCCCTCTTTTGTCTGTGAAGAATTTTGGATTATGTTTATGTCTTTGTCCAGTAAATTAACTTTTTTTCCTCCACAGTTCGATATGATTCTTGGGAAACTGGAGAATGACGGAAGTAGAAAGGTGGGTTAAATGCATCCCTAGAGAAGTGTGCATTTGCAGTTGGGGATCTGTACAGTCAAAAGAATACAGTTAGCTTTTAGAATTCACAGTACTGTACATGCAAATCTGAATCACATTGCTTAGTTTAAAACACAGGGAAAATTACAGGCCCAAATGATGACCTTGGTTTTATACACATTTGTATCTCCTTAAAATATGTTAGTTTGTGATTAGATAACTTATTTATTATGTTCAGAATATTTGTTCACACTTGCCAGGTTTTGAGCTGAGGCAGCTACATTTCTGCCATTCTCAGCTCAGAAAACATGCAAGAAAAAGAAATTGATTACTGCACCTAACTCTCCCCAGATGGAAAGTTAGAAGTGCACTTGACCTCCCGCAAAAGGCAGTTTCTGAGGGCTCAGAACTCCATGGTGACCTAGAAATGTAGCTACTCCCAGCAGCCATAGCGATTCTTGAGGCGAGTTGTGCCCGTTGGTCATCATAGCAGAAGAGATGGAGGCCCTGTTGTCAGACACCAGTCCTCACCCTGACTCTCCCTGTGGCCTTGGGAAAGTCACTTCCCCTCAGGGACCGACTTTCTCCTTTGTAGAAATGAATGGCTTGGACCCAGCAATCTCTAGATGAGCTCACACCACTCACACCATGCAGCTCAGAAAGGGGCCAGTGACAGTGGGGGGGGGGGCAGTTGGCAGGCACTGCACTGAGTGCTTTGCATGTAGTTTCTTATTTGCCACGATAACCCGAAAAGGTAGGAACCATTATTATCTGTGTTTTCCAAGTGAGGAAATGTGGACACAGTGAGGTTATTCTCTTCAAGATCACACAGCTAGTACAGTAAGAAGCGAGTTGGAGTTTGAACCCAGTCCTTCTGCCCTTAGAGCCTGTGATCTTCGCTGATGCCCTCTGCTGCCTCCTGAGTGGCAGCCCAGGCCTTACCAACTTGGCCGATGGAGAATCAGAATGGCTAATCAGAGATGTCACATACTTGCCTTCTTCTCCCACGATTCCTAAGGCCTCTTATACTCTCCTGACCATTTGGTTGCTGTTGAGTGGTAATAATGATTTTTTTTAAATGTCCTGATACCACTTGCCATGTATTTTTTCAGCACTGAGTTTCTTTTGCCATCTGTCTTGGAAAGCAAATCCAAAATCTTTCAGATATTTTCTCTAAGCCTCCTGATATTTTTCCCTAGTTCCTACTCATCAGCAAATTTTAAATCATTGATTTCACTGACTCGGGGTCATTTTGGAAAATTTTAAAGCACAGATGTCTTATTGCTGACTCCTCTGTGCCTCCAGTGAGTCTGCCCCTTCATGTGCAGTTTCCTTGGTCTCCTTTCAGAGTTTTAATAGGGCCTTATAGCTTCAAGAAAGCAAGAGTATGAAATACATGCATTGCCCAGGGCTAGCATTTTCAGTTAAAGTAATTTTGGATCCCATTTGCTCCTCTGTGTTTAAAATAATAGCTCTGTACTTCCGTCTCTCTCTTCCTCCCCCTCCATAATTTGTCTTGTCAGCCTGGAGTCATAGATAAGTTTACTAGTGACACAAAGCCTATTATCAACAAAGTTGCTTCTGTGGCAGAAAATAAAGGACTGTTTGAAGAAGCAGCAAAGCTTTATGACCTTGCCAAGGTAAAGTGTGCCCTCTTCCTTCTTCTGCACTTAACAAATCTGTTGGCCTTTTGGCATTAAATGTACAGCCATTTCAAGAGCACCATTGTTCTCCTAGTGCTTAGGCAATTATTGGTCCCGAGTGAAATTCCCATTTTACAGAATTATTTCTGCCCGGAAGATATTTCTGGCCACACTAGAGCAATACATTGAAAGGATGTCCTGCAGGCATTGAACTGGAGTCTCACTTGACGGCAGAATAAGCATCCATCACGTGTCAGTGGTGAAGCTGCTGGCAAAAATGCCATCATACTTACCCTCTGGGCAACCACAGACGTGCTAGTGAAAATGGTGCATTAGAGAATAAGATCACAGCTGGGCATTTTGAGAGAACTAGAATAAAAAAACCACATGGTGACTGCTAATGATTATGTGACCTAAAAAAGATTACATTCTCATCTTTTATCAGATGAGAAAAGTAGACAAAAAGGGCTATAAGTCCTACTTTTTTTAATTAAAAATTTTCATTGAAGTATAATTATCATGTAGAAAATGTACAAATATTATGTGTACAGCTTGCTGAATTTTCTGTAGGTATCTGTAACCACCACTCAGATCAAGATACAGAACATTTTCATCCATCACCCCATTAAATGCTCTCTTTCATTTTAGTTATTTAGTTTTTCCTTTTATTCATTATTTTATTGATGATTTCCTTAATTTTAAAAACTTGAACAGAATGCTGACAAAGTGCTGGAGCTGATGAACAAACTGCTGAGCCCTGTCGTTCCCCAGATCAGTGCCCCACAGTCCAACAAGGAGAGGCTGAAGAACATGGCGCTCTCCATCGCTGAGCGGTAAGGCCAGGAGCTGGCTCTGTGGGACCCTGAGTTGCCACTGCCACTGCCAGGCCACCCGTGCCCACCTAAGTGCATGTTCAGCCTTAATAGGTAACAGCACACAGCTTTCCAAAATGTCTCTACTAACTCACCATGCCACTAGCCCTACGTGAGAGTTCCCGTGTCCTCATACCATAACCAGCACTTGGTACTGTCAGACTAATAACAATTTTGCCAAAGAAGAGGATATAAAAATGTGTCTCAATATTTTACTCATGCACATTAGGCTTTTTCCCTTTTTTCCACATTAGTTTTAGTTCTGGGCAGTATGCTCATCTACACACTGTTGGATATACTTTTATTAACCATCTCCAGACCACTAAGGAACAAAGCTAGCGATGAATGGATGGGGAAATTCTTAGAGGTGTCTTGGCCAGTGTTTCAGAATCCACCTTTCTCCCAGTGAGTTAACACACTTTAACCAGTTTAAGTTCCAGGCTAAGGCAAAGGATGTTTTTGTGCCCTCTACAGATACTTCTAATAAAGTGATCCAGAGAAAACTGGGTTTGGGATGTTTTTCTGGACTAACACAAAAGAACATTCTTTGGCAATGAGATATCTCCACTTAGCAAACAGTCCTAGCGATGGCTGCTGGGACTTTTTCCTGTCAGGATCTCCTGCCCTTCCTGGAGATTTGGATGCTTAGATGGTGGTCAAGGCTGGAGAACCCTGCTTCATGCCAAGTATTTATAGGTGGATTCATACCAAAGCCACCATCAACACTTGGCCATTTCAAAATAAACACCATTGTCCACTCCTTAATTAACCTCCTCCAGAAAGTGCAAGAAGGTTTGATGGCTTTTAAAATGCTATCCCACAGTCGTGGATCACACAGAAATTCATGATACACACTTGCTTCCCCCACCCCTTTTTGTCTTTCAGGTATAGGACTCAGGGAATAAGCGCAAATAAATTTGTGGACTCCACGTTCTATCTTCTGTTGGACTTGATCACCTTTTTTGACGAGTATCACAGTGGTCATATTGATAGAGCCTTTGACGTAAGTTTCAGGAGGGGGGTTTGAAGTGCAGGCTAATGTATGCCCTTGAAAATTCAAAACACGTCATGGAATTCATTTAAAACAAAGGAAGTGTCACCACTGCCTGTTAAATGAAGAAGGACAGGTATAATCTTGGGACTTTCAAGGGTATTTCTGTGTTGCACCTTTTGGGGGGTTTTTTTGCTTTTTCTTTTTTGTTGTTTTGTTTTGTTTGTTTGTTTGTTTGTTTTCCCCTTTAATCTGAAAACAGGTTTCTCAAAGTAATTTGAAATCTCCGAATTTTTAAAATTATGTCAGAAAACAATTGTAAGAATTAAGTTAGTCAGCAAGTTAGAATCAAAGCCTTTGTGTATGAGGGGGCATGGTGTTTTCTATTAAGAAGCCCTTTTGAGCATGTTACTTGCTGACTGTGTCTGAAGGGAGAGGAAATGCCTGTGAGGGCTGTGTCATATGAGGCGGGTTGTTTGTTTTAAACAGATAATGGACCGCTTGAAGCTGGTGCCCCTGAATCAGGAAAGTGTGGAAGAGAGAGTGGCTGCCTTCAGGAATTTCAGTGATGAAGTAAGTCCTTTTCTTCCTGAGTGATAGAATTCTTTTTTTTCCCCACTTCCCTGGCTTTTTGTTTTAATGTAGCTAACAACTTTAAGAGTTGTAGTTACAGTAACCATCCAGACTGAGTTTTCCAAGGTGGGTCTACTTAAAGAAATCCTAAACTCGCTTTTCTGTGCGTGCACACGTCCCCATCAGATTTTCTGAATTCCTGATTCAGAAAATACAGCCACTTCAGTGATTGACATGTGCTTAGGAAAAACAGGATTCTGGTTGATCCTGTGAAGTCTGGTTTAATTCTTTTATTATCTACATATGCTAGAGGGCGTTTTAGTGCTTAACTCTGATCTCCTTTAAGTAGTTCCACTGGGTACATGAAACACACATCATGTTCACTGCTATTCTCCTCCTGTTCCTCCTCCCCCTCCTTGAACTGTTTTGTCTAAAGAACCAAATGCAATGACCAGGGACTAAGTTATCGCCCCACAAATCCCAGGTTGCTGTCTCTCTGTAGGGTTTCTAGCATGTTGCCACGCTCCAGCCCAGGGTTCTCAGCTGGGCTGCACTCTGGAGTCTAAAAAGCCTCTAAGCCCAGGCCTTACCCTGGAGACTCCGCTTCCCCTGGTCTAGGCCGCAACTCAGACCTCCCCCATGCATTCCTCTTCTCTTGAACCACAGATCCTCAACTCTAGACTCTAGAACCAGCTGCCTGGTTCTGGGATGTCACTAGTGGCATTTCAGCTTACAATTGTTCCTCATTAAGCAACTGTCTTTTATAAAAATCACACTTTTGTTTTAGAAGAAGAAGTAAGACCAGCTTCTGCACATAAGGAGGGGCATTGGCTGCTGTGGTACACACAGTCAGGTCTTGCCCCTTGCTGACCTCCCCTTCACACCTGCTACAGAGTCTTCCCTCAGCCACTTGTTCCTCTGTTATTTCTTGCCTTTCCTGGATGCATCCTTCATTGCATCCCAGGCTAAAGTCGTGCACCAGGCCCTGCCCTTGCAGATGCTCCCAAGGACTCTGGTGGGGTCGTGCAGATTCAGCAGAGGCAGCCTAGTGGGTTCGAGACAGTGGGGAGTGGCGGGAACTGTGGAGAACTGTTGTGTACACCTTCGACCTACTGACGCACAAGGCCAGATTCTTTAATGTAATCGCTTTGCTGGCCAGATGCCATCAGCATGCTTTTGGCTGGCTGCCCCCGCCTAGGAGGAATTTCATAAAGAAGGGAGCAGGAAGAGTGACCACCTAACCTGAGCAACATCACCCGGGGATTGCTCTCCCACTTGACATTTCAGTGCCATCAGCTCCTTTTTGGTGACTGTGTAGCTCTTCACCTGGCAGCTGTGGGATGTCTTGTGTCCAGGCCTGCTTGGAGCTGCCCACCCTCCCTCCACCTTTTCTTTGGCCCTGAGGGCTTGGTCCTTTTTCCTCACTGCATGTGTTTCTCTCTGTGTAGATCAGGCACAACCTCTCAGAAGTGCTTCTCGCCACCATGAACATCTTGTTCACACAGTTTAAGAGGCTCAAGGGGACGAGTCCATCCTCAGCATCCAGGCCCCAGCGAGTCATCGAGGACCGAGACTCTGTAAGATCCCAACGTTCGCGAAAAACATTGCTGAGAACCACGTGTCTGGTTTGGAATCCTTTGCACTGTTAAGAGACCGAGTGACCCGAAACTGCTCTTTGCCCTGCTACCTGGCAGCTGGGTGAATCTTGTGTCGGGAGGCTCTCAGATCAGAGCTATCGAGCATTAATGGGTTGCAGCTCTTCTCAAGCTAAAAAGAAAAGAAGTGCTAAGTCTGCACATAGCACCTTTTAAAAATCAAACAGAATGCTAATTTGTAGTTGATTCCACAAGAACTTCCTGGTCATTTAAAAATATAAGGTTATTTTGTGAGTCTCAGCTCACTTTCATGAAAAGCAAACACTTTTATCAAAAAACTGTATTTTTGATTAACACATTAATTTGATGCAAACTCTTGTTTCTCCTCTCATCTGTGTGTCACAGTGACCGTAGAGAGGTAACTAGGGCAGCATTTATCCCCATCTTACAGCTGAGGAAACTGAGGCCTGGAGTTGAGAAGCATCTTGCTTGCTTTTGTGCCCCACCCCCCAGGGGGTAGGTAGGTAGAGGGGCCATGTCTGGAAGCGGGTCTGTCTGACACTTGAGCCTGTGCAGCCTCCAGCAGTGCGTGGGTTAAGTAGAGTCTGGGTGGCCAGAACCCTGGGACCACACAGCATATGTTGTCTGACTGATTTGACAAAAAAAGGCAAAGGTGTTTTACCCAGTGAAACCAGGAGGTGGAAGAGTCCGGTGGTATTTTTTAAAATTACTTTCCACTCAATTTTGTATGAGACCCTTAGGACAGTGTCTAACATCTAAACCTGGTTTGGGCAGTCAAGCAGCCCGGAAAATGCTGTCTTCTGTCTCCAAGGATGTCTGTGGGCTCTCTCTACCGTGACCCCACGGGCACTGTCATTGACAGAACCTCTGTTAGTGAGTGACGGTAGCCATTTCCACCCTCAGGAATGTGGATGGCAGTGCTCGGGAGTGGTCCACTGAAGTGGTCAGCCTGTCCGTGTGTGCACCAGGGACATACGGTCTGCCACCTGCCTTGGGCAGACAAGAGACTAAATGCCAGATGTGCCAGTGGTAGGGCCACTGTGCTTGCCCCTTGGCAGGCATCTGTTTTTACAATGAAAGAAACCGAGTGCAGTGATACCAATATTGAAATGGTAGGCATTTTCTGGCACTCTGTGTGCCGCTTACAGGTCAGAGGAGGGCTTGCCCACGGAGCTGGTGGCCTGAAAGGCCACTTCCCACATCTGAAGGGAGCCATCTGAATGGCACCTTCTGTGTGTGTTTCAGTCTCTTTTTTAGGCACTTAGTTTTTACATATCATGAATAAAGCCATTCTCCTCTCTTTCTCTTACCCACCACTCTCTTTTTCTTTTTCTGAAAGTTAGGGATGGGTAGGATTGAGGAGAAGCTTATATATAAAATTGGCCTGCCCAAGAAGTAGTTTCATGGTTTACAGCAAAGTGCTGCCTGGTAATGGGGTGGGTCCTTTTGCCTGAACATCCTAGAGCTCATTTAAGGTAACTGAATTAGGCATGAAAGCCCACGTACTTTTATTCACTTCTAAAGAAGATACAATGGATATTCTCATCACAAAATAAGATTTCATTTTGTTTGGACTTTCATAAGGGCATAGACTTGCCAATTCATTGTACACATCAGGTAAAAACATTTGCCTTTCAGTTTTCTTCTGGAATGGTACTTAAGCCTAGTAAATGACGCTTCAGTTTTCCTTAAAATTCTTGTTACTGGTCCAGAAAGGTGTTTGTAAACTCTCCCTTTTTAGTTCAAATTTGGTTTAAATTTGTAGAGCCATCTTTTTCCTCCTGGAACAATCCAGGAATTCCGTACACATTGTTGCCTGGGAAGAGAGGGCCAAGCACGTGAGTCGGGCAGGGAGAGGGGAGGGGCAGGGGAGAGGAGAGCTGGACTGGAACTGCACACTCACGGCCTTTGCCTCTGCCCTTGCAGGGGCTCCGCGGGGGCCCTGGAAACTCAGATCCCCATGGAAGAAGGTGGATAGAAACCAGCCAGCAGAAGGGGGCGAGAGGCTCAGAAAACTGGAACAGGCAGTTCTTAAGCTCACGGCTGAGTCAGAGCTAGTCAGATGTGCTGGGGCGAGGCGGCTTGCCCGGCAAACCCATCTGCCTTTTGCTTGGTAGACAGGCTCGGGTGCCTGTGGAACTGGGGCCCCTGGGAACAAGCTTTGCTCACTCTGCACCCTGCCGGAGGAATGTGACAGTGGAGGGTACGACTGTCATCCGCCCACCAGGGATCTGTCCCTGACACCACAGGGTAGAGGATGGAAGAACGTGGAACAGTGCCCTGACTTGGAAGTTAACGGGTTTTCTTCTCTTCTCCCTCTTTCTCTCAGCAACTCCGAAGCCAAGCCCGCGCCCTGATTACCTTTGCTGGGATGATACCCTACCGAACGTCTGGGGACACCAACGCAAGGCTGGTGCAGATGGAGGTCCTCATGAATTAAATGCCATGCTTTGGGGGCTCCTGGGGCTGCACGCTGTCAGTACATCAGGCGCATGCGCCCACTAGCGTGGGGTTTCTGGTTTTGTTTCCGTTGTGTTTTGTTTCGTTTTTTTGTATTATGTATTTTTGTCAACACCAATAAATTTGTTTGGTTTGTATTTCTTTTCAACATTCTTTTATTTTTATTGTTTGGTTTTTTCCTTTGAAATTTTGTTTACATTTTTATTTGTGTATTGGGATGAAATGCTGTCACTGCTTCTTGGGCCACAGAATGAGAGGCCCTGTGGGCATCTGTGATTTAGTTAAATTGACCTTAAATAATTAAAAATTTCCCCAAAATGAGCCAGGAAACTAAGCCTTTGGGAGTTACTTTTATTTAGATATAATATTCCATGTAGCAGAGTCGTAGTTCTTTTTCACATTTTCATTTGAATGTGAAGGCCAGCCTCAGCCTTAGAAGATTTAAGATTTATATGTGAAATATGAAATATCAAGCACTCCATGTCCTCCCTCTTCTCAGGTGTCTCCTGGGGTCCATGTGGTCCAAGATTGTCCCCCAAATTACCTGCTCTGATTACAGGATTAATCAGCTTACTGTTGTCGTATAGTCCCACTGGAGATAAAGGTGTAGACCTAGAAAAAGCCTTAAGAAAGAACGTTGCAGGTGCCCAGCTCGAGCTTGAGGGAGGGGTAACCTTACCGACCTTACCGCTGCACCCCTCTAGCTGTTCCCTGAGTGCTGGCTGCCCGGGCTTGTGCACGCCTGTTTCTTAAGCTCCTCTTTTCCCTTCTCTAGTGGTCAGTTCCTCTGCTTGGATGACCCCCCTTCCCCACTCAGGAAGATAATTGGCTGGGCAAGCTCATGAGTCACATTCTGAGTGTGTGACATACACAATGCAGACACTGCGTGGCATCAGCACTGTGGGTATTTGGTTCCTGAGCAGTAGGTGTCACCCATCATGGCTCTGTTTCTCCCACCACCTGTCTCAAAGTCCCGGACTAAACTGGAGAGGAGATGTGGGTGAGCATTTGGTCCTGAACGGGCGCGCCGGAGCCAGGAGACAGTGCTCTGCTGGCTTGATGGAGCACTTCCGAGGTGAGCCCTTTCCCAGGAGGATCCCCAAAGCGCCCTCAGGCACTTTTGCTCCTAGGGAGAAGTTTCTTTGTCACAGAGTATGGTCACCCTCACCATCCTCTAGTTAAAATAGTTGTTACCTTTCCTTTTGGGAAAGAGTTAATCAGTAGATAATGGAGCCATCTGCTTCCATGGGTTGGATTCCGTATTCCATCAAGGCCTGAGGGTCAGCGGTTGTGTTCTGCCCTCCGCCTCCAGTCCCATCTTGTCACCCTGGAGTGCTGCCCTCCATTGAGCTTCATTAGAAAGTCTCAGAACATGAGCCCTGCGGGAGACTTGATTTAGCAAGTTGTGCCCTGCTTTTATGCACTGATCTAATGCACTGTTAAATCAAATCAAATGATTTAACAGTGCTTTTTGAAAAAGAGCACTCTGTGGACTTTTGGTAAAGTGTGACTTGATATATGTACTTTTTAAACATTAGGTCTTACTTGCAGATAGAAATATAACAGGGCCATAAAAATGGGAGGTGGCTCAAGTTAAATCCATATTTGCCCCCGGCTAACCTCTTATTCGTTATCCCATGAGAATTGCAGGTTTGCCTTTCCTTGCATCATGCAGTCCAAATAGAACTGTGTGCCAGCCCTGCATAGGGGGGTGAGGTGCCTTTGACTGGTACATAAGACCTTAAGTCAGAAAGGAGAGAAAAGCAACCAACATATGATTCAGCTGCCCTGCTGGGCGACCTGAGTTGGGAGTGGTCACCGGTTGACAGGACCTGCTGAGAGTGAGACCTTTGTAGGAGAAGTAAGATAACTAACTTCATACCAAAAGGGCCAAGCCTCACAGAGCAAATCCCAGTTCTTGTCCCACAAGTTGATTCCATGGTCAAGCACAGCCCTCTGGGTCCTGGCAGAGGTGAGGAGAAACAGGCTGAATTTGCAAGGCCACAGCGTCAGGTTCCCACGTCCCCATGTTTACAGCTTGTGCCCAGAAGTCGTGACCTGTGACAAGTTAAGAGCCTAAAAAGTCATCGTTGGCTCACCTGTTGAGAGAACTAAATCCTTTCCCTAGATGCCAGGCCATGAGTTCACTGTTTACCCCCAGGAACTAAGAAAAAGTAGCACTAGGGGTCTCTTGTCTTCCAGGGATGAGATTTCCATCTTTCTAAGGAAATCAAATGCACTTGGAGACTGGCTCAGGTGGCTTTTAGTGAACTGAATGAAAAGTTCAGAGAGAAGTACCGAATGATCTGGATCCTTTCTAGAGGCCTGGAGTTTTAATTTCATGGATTTGGGTCCTTTGATTTTTTGTTTTTAATCAAATCTTGGCTACTCAACTTCAGAGGGAAACTGAAGTGAAACTTCAGTGAGCTCTTTTACAGCAAATCCTGTAGTTTTATCACTCACAATCTAGATGGACTCAGAGACACTAGGGCCAGAATGTAGACCCAGCTCCTGCCCTCCAAGAACTTACAATCTATTTAGGGACTTAAGGACAATTGGGCAGCCACTTAATCTTTTGATGCATCATTTAAATCCTAAGGTAGGTTACTTTAACACATTAACTGCCGTATGAGTTGTATTTAATTCATGCTAGTTTTGAGCCCAGGGCCTCATGAACCATATTCTAACTCATCTCTTCACCGTGGGAGCCTCATGGTGTGTAGGCAACTCACACTGCCACGCTGTAGCATACGTGTTACATGATGGGCAACCCCCTGGGTAAAACCCTGCAGTCGGTTCGTGAAAATCTTGCTGATGTTATTGACAATTTAATTGCATATAACTCCCAGAAAACGATAAAAAATAACAAATTTTTCATTAGGATTATTTTGTTTTCAAAGTTTTTATTCTATTTTCATAATAAAACACTGTGGTCCCAAGGAAAAAAGTTTTTTTTTCTACTGTGGCAGTCAATGTGTTAAGCAAAGAACTATAGACCTTTCTGCAGTGTCCAGCATTTGCTGATTTGAAGACTATTTTCTCTTTGGATTTTTACTCTTGCCCGCTCCTGGCCAAAACCCCGAATGCTAAATTTAGCAGTTACTCGAGTATACGCCAATATCCCACTGCTTTATACAGGATCTCTACAATCCTTGTTTCTGCATTAGGCATTAGAATCTTTGTCTAGTTCATTAGGTACTTCACATCACTTGCCAAATTTCCATCATGCTACTCAGGAAGTGACTTGAACATGCCAAATGCTGAGTGAGAGAATAAAACCCCCTTGCCAAATTGTTGGCAGGCCCCACGCTGACTGTGGACTCTCGCTTAACCCAGTGAGCCTCGAACCTTGCATCCAGTAAATTGGGAGAAGGTGTTACTTATAAAATTCCTGATGGAAACGTGCATTTTATATCAGTAGAGTTGGGCTTCTGCCCCTGCGTTTCTGGAATATCAGGAAGAAGTTCATAACTCAGTAACAGAAATTGTCTAGAACTGTAGAGGAAAACGAGGCTATTTTCAGGGTCCTGAATGTCCCCATTCATAATTCTAGGCTGAATCCAGAAGTCACCCCACCTGCAGACTGTCTTCTGACAGTTCCATAGTATATTCATTTCTTTCACTGGGCAGGGACAGGAGGGAAATAAATCTTTTTCTGCTACTTGTTTCTAACTGAAAAGGTCGGTGGAAAAAAAGCTTAAATCTACTAAAATGTTCTGAAAGGAAATTTCAAATGGCCTGTGCTGCTTTTCATGCACGTAACTGTTGCATACGGACTAAATAGGCTGAGTATATTTATGTATCAGCCAGAGTTCAATTTCAGCAGATACTTTTAACTCCTGAGTGTGCGAGGCTGTGCTGGGTAGCCGGGCTATCCAAGTAAATCAAGCACTGTCCTCATCCCAGAGTCGTTGATCATTCTTAAGAAGCTGGTTCTTTTTTATCCTTTTTGCCAGAATCACCTAAGTGAAGTACTCTCGGTTCTAAGCTGCTAACCCAGGGAAGGAGGAAAACTTCCTGTCCTAACCTTGGTTTTTGAAATATGCTTCTCCTGCGTGCCCTCCTGTGGGTGTCTGGCCCAGGGTGGATCGCTCGGCAGATGTTTGCGTGAGCAGGCACTGTGCTTTGGCCCCCTGTGCCAATCCCTTCCCCAGTACCTGGATTCAGACTCATGTTTCAGCATGGGGTCCCTAAATAGGCATTCCGTCTGCAAGGTGGAAGAGAGGAATGTCTCCCAGGGTCAGCACTGGTCCGTCAAAGACAGATACATGCAGAGCTACACAGGCAGCAGGAAGGTTGGGAAGAAGGGGGTGGAAATTTGATTTACTGTTAATAACAAAGGCCGGATCTTTAGAGGGGGAGGGGCGCTGGCAGAAGGCCAGCCTTGCCCTGGCACACACTATACTCTGCTGCCTCACCCTGGAGCATCATTTCTCAGAGATGGGGAGAGTGAAAAAGTTTGCCTTGGACATCAGCTTCTGCTTGGGCAGGAAGCGGGGACCCAGTGCCCCCAGAGGGGACTTCCAGCTTCGAAATGGATGTGCTGCAGCCCCTTTGGTGGCCCCAGCAGACCTGGCCCCTGAGACCAGGCTCTCATGCGACATCCAGGGCTGCATGGCCTGCAGGTAAGGCCCCTTCATCCAGGCTAGATTTAGCAAATAAAAATACAGGACATGCAATTAAATGTGCATTTCAGATAAGCAGTGAAGACGTTCCTAGTGTAAATAGGCCCCAGTTTGACCTGGCTGCCCTATCTGGGCTGGCCTTTGCTGGCCTAGAGAAGTTCAACCCTGGCACAGGCTGCTAGGAGCTAGCTCTCCAGCTAAATTGAGTTTCCCTGATTTGGCGCACTGTTTGCACTTCTGTGGGCAGCGGAAATGACAGTGAGATAGGAAGTCGCTTGAGAGAGGGCAGTCACTGGAATTGAGTTTTGAACAGCCAGGCAGGCGGCTGAGCGGGATAACATTGGCCCCTGTTGACCTGGCTGCTGTCATCTACTGGGTGTTTTCCATCAGGAATTTCAGATGCCATGCGTTTTATAAAGAGAGGAAGGGGCAAAGGTAGAGCCTTTTCTCACTCCATCAGTAATTTGCATTAGAAACTCAATGGGGGAGAATTCTTTATGTTTTTTCAGTTGA